TGACAAATGCATACAACATTTCAAAACTAAACATTTAAATGAAAACAAAAAAAAAATAAAGCTAAAAACAATTCAAAATATTAAAATAACAAAAGGTATGAGTATAATAATGTTTCTAACATACATATGACACTTTACTGTCCCGAGAGAGGGACATGATGGACTGTCGTGAAAGCCGGAGGTTTGGACGGAGGTCAGATTCATCTTCCAAATACAATCAAAGAATTGGCACAGCAGCATTCAGGCGGCAGTAGGTTGTAAGGCTCACAGTCTGCAAATGTGTGTGTGTGTGTATATATATATTTTTTAGAATATGTATATTATTTATTTATTATGTTATTTATGTATCTATTGTATCTATCTATAATATTTATTTAGGCTATGTATATATTGTATGTATTCGTGTGCTGCGCATTTTACTGAGGACAGCTTCCACAACACGAGGGAGTACAGTGCCGGATTCGCCAAAAGCTTTTGTTGAAAGACGAAGCATGGGGCGTGGCAGTACTGAAACACCGTCTAAGCTGTTCGCCAATCACAACGCACTGGGACAGCTAACCAATCACAACACATTTTGTTTCTCGGAAGGCGGGCCTTCATCAAAACGGGAACTAATCGACCGTTTGTGCCAGCCTGGGGAGAAAGGTATTTTAATAATGTAGATTATGTGAAAAATAATGCATTTTTCGAACCACCAAGCATGAGAACATGTTCTAGTACACCCCCAAAACAAAATCAAGACTTTGTAAAAGAGCATAATAGGACCCCTTTAACTAAAATTAAAATAAGTACAAATAATACAAATCAAATGACAGTAGTTTATCAGTAATCCTAAAAGATCTGTGATCTGCGAGCAGCTGACCGAAGCCGCCTGTGAGCTGTTGATCCAGTCAACGTTAAAACGCCGATGAAAGCGGTAAGAATTACGTGAAACACTGCTGATGTTCAGCAGTAGTGAGGGCTCTTTACATTTTGGCGCTCTTGTGAAGACGCTTGTCACGTGACAACATCAACATGGCGGATGTAGTACGCCCGAATTCCATTCATACTACTCTCATTCATACTATATAGAACGTACCTTTTTAACGGTCGAGTAGTACGTTCAAATTCAAATGTAGTACCTACTAAGCAGTATGCGATTTCGGACGCACCCTCACTATCCACCTTTTTCTTGTCGTAAACATGGGCGCGGCCATTTGTAAATTCTATGGCTCTGGCTTCCGGTCTCATCTGCGTCCACTCCGTCCAGCTATTTATAGCTGAACAAAATAGTTCGTTTTACTGCTTGATATTGAAAGTTGGTGTGTCTTATATCATTTTAATGTATTATCTTAATTATGAACACACTGGTTTGTAGTGCAAAAGTTTTACCGTTTACTGCTTTCTTCCACGTTGAAGAAAAAGGTTGATACGATATAATGTACTATATAATGTAACATTAAACAAATATATATATATATATTTATCCATGTTAATGACTATCGATTTATAATGAACAGTTATAGGTTGTAATTGTTCCTATAACACTCTAAAGTTCTCACTTCTCAGTAATCAAATACGTGTTTATACTAGATCAAAATATAATCATGATTATATATACAGAATATTTAGGCTTTTTTGCTACTACGAAATATGCCAGCAGCTGGACTTTATAAATATAGATTTAGCTTGACACTCCAGTAGTAACACCAAGTCTAGTTGAGTGCCTCGTTTATAGGAGAGCTCCCACCTACCCAGCCCCATCAAATCCGTTTTACCCAGAGCCCCGCCCCCTGTCTTTGTCAGCTGAATTAATTTGATACTATTTTTGAATTTCTGCGTTTCCCAGGGAAACCTAATGACGTCAATGCGGGTCAATAGCACAGTGATAGGCTGGTGGCGGGGAAAGCTGTGCTCTCCACCAACAGAAACGACACTGCTGTATCTAAGAAGCCCTGGTGTCCATTACATTAAGCCTATAGAGTATGTGTATATATACATATAGATGAATTAATTAATGAATATAAAGGATGAAAAACACGTTTTAAAAATGCACTACAGTATGCTTTATTACACAAACTCGTGGTAAAACACTGATAATATGATTATATATTTTTTCAGCAAATTTAAGTAAATTCTTACCGTGAATGTGAACATCTTCCATTCACAGCGTCGCGTTCTCGTGTCTGTCTATGCAAAACAAGTTTGCGGGATGCCAGCCCTCCTTTAACTTCTCAAGAACCAATTTCAACCCCCTCCCCCAGATACACGGGAAAGCTGATACTTTCTTTAGGTATTTCTCTTCATTCAGAAAAAGCGAGCGAGCTCATTCACGCAGTGAGCACTGTGGTCCAAATGCAGGCGCTCGTCGGTGTACTCCGTCTTGTCTAGATTCCTCTGTGAACACTGTGCGAACATCACTTTGCACTTCGATGAACGAGAACATACGGTGAGTGATATTTTATTTCTTTCTGTTTCAGTTCTCAACTCATTTGGAACTTTATTTTGACTTCGGATCGCTTTTAAAGTGATCAGACGTTGAACTAGGCGATAACTCCACAGAGTTTGTTTGCCTGTGGTTGGATTGTTCAGGCATTTGGAGTAGGCTACAGAGTCCAGATCAAAACTAGATCGGAAGATGCTACTTTTGTGTTTTGCAGGATTGCAGCTACTTAAAGTCTGACGCTTCGGGTTGAAGGCTATTTGTGCGTTGTATCGAGTCTTTATAATTACTTTTTATTTATCTCGATACTTGGCAGAGTGTTATAAGGCAGATTATTCGTCCTTGATATTATGCGGCTCTTTCACAACTTTAAATCCGATATTCTCAAAGCGTGTTGTTCTCATTGTTGCCGAGTGGTCACGATTCGCGCTGTTGTGACATTTAAGAATCGCACTGACATCTCCGGTACCCTTTAAGCTTTTGCAACGCTTCTACGTTTTAGAAAAAGAGCAAACAAACAGATGGAATAATGAAACAAGCTTTTTTTCATGAAGTCAGTCGTGTTCATGTTTTACTCCTAACTTGAGTTGTAGCAGATGAGGAACATGCAACCATTTTCAAACCTAGCAAATCAAGTCACTGAATATGCAACCTGGACTGTCTAGACCGCCTCAACTCTCTCCTGTTGCACCCAGTCTAAACAAAAAGGTCTTTGGTAAGAAAGCGTTCCCTTATCAGATGACATGAGTGGACGGAGGGTTTCAGCACCACGGACAGCGACCACCTCAGGCCTCGGCTCAAGAGCGTGCGTCGGACTACATTTCACGACAAACAGTATGAAATATGTAGCAACAAGTCTGCTGCATGAACGCAATGACACTATGGAAAACTTTTTTTTTTAATCGCCGGTGATCATCTTGCAAATCTTTACCCTGCATTTCCGCATATGTATATATATATATATATATTAGTGGTGTCAAAATTAGGGCGTTAAAGGGTTAGTTCACCCAAAAATGAAAATTAGGCTGCGTTTTACTCACCCCCGAGGCATCCTAGGTGTATATGACTTTCTTCTTTCAGACGAATCCAGTCGGAGTTATATTAAAAATGGTCTTTGATCTTTCAAGCTGTTTAATGCCACTCAGCGGGTGTTGCATTGCTTCAGTCCAAAAGAACTAAAATAAAAATCGCCCATCCATAAAAAAAAGTGTCTAATATAACTCCGACTGGATTCGTCTGAAAGAAGAAAGTCATATACACCTAGGATGCCTCGGGGGTGAGTAAAACGCAGCCTAATTTTCATTTTTGGGTGAACGAACTCTTTAACGCAGGCGATTATTTTTTTCAGTTTAACATAACGCAATTAACGCAGGGGGGGGCTAGGGTTGGCCACCCCACTCACAACTACTGCTTCTGTCATTTTTCTCTTGACAAGCAGTGCATTTATTCAGTCGCAGAACGACTGAGAACGGGAGACGTTTCAGACGCGCTCTCCACTTTACTTCAGCGCCAGGCGCGAGTCAAACGAGCACGAAAACGGTACTGTGCTTGCAGCGTCTGCTCTTCAATTGCACGCACAAAGGCGCCGGCGCGCGCTGTAGCCTGTATCCTTTCATATCAAAGCGCGAAATGAACTACGTGCATGCAATGTCGTGGTCTGTTAAGTCATGAAGTTACCAAAAAGGCGATTAAAGCTGCCTTAAAACTGTGCATGCATGTAATATATTTTATGAGTCACATTTAAGAACATGTTTCTGAAATGGTTTTCAAAACTGTCCTGGAGCAG